TCCCCTGTGACACACAGAGCCACAGGGCGATCAGGGGGTTTGGGCGCTGCCCTTGTCATGCTGATCCCGGTGCTGGGAGGCATATTACCCTTTTACTATATAGGATAGAGGCCTGGTGCACGGGTGGGGGCTGGCTGGTTTGCCCTGAAGGGTGTCCTGGATCAGGGTGGGGGTCCCCTCTGGGTGCCTGGCCAGGCTGGCTGAGGGGCTGAGGGCCGTTTTCCGGCTGGTGGGTGACTGAAGCTCCCAACCGCTCCTTTTTTTCTTTTCTTTTTTTTTTTTTTTAATTCTGGGCCAGCTTTAGCTCTGAGGCCTCGCTGCTGAAAACATTGATACAATGTTGCGGTCAGGCTGGCTGAAGCCCGGCTGACTGAAAGCCGGTTTCTGGGGTTTTGTTTAGCTTCTATATTTGCAACATAGTTGCTTAGAGTTGCAGTTGAGAGGCCAGCAAGTCAGGCGGGGAACGTTGGAGTCCGCTGTCACTGGAGCAAGCAATCCTCCCTGTTCGCTTCAGTGCATGGCTGCCGGCCGCCATCTTGGCTGACAGTTAATTTGCATAACGATATGCTGATTAGCCAATGGGAAGGGTAGCGGTCGTACGCTAATTACCATGTTTCTCTTTTATTAGTGTAGATGTTTACTTTGAATTTATATTAGTTCACACAAACACTCCATCCATGCTTTTGTTCCGGCCCTCCGGTCCAGTTTAAGAACCCATTGTGGCCCTCGAGTCAAAAAGTTTGCCCACCCCTGGTGGTGGTTCAGTACGCACTCGGCTTGAGACCCTTGTTTCCCTTCGTTCAGGAGCCAGATGTGAGCTCTGTCAGCTCCACGACTGTTTCCCTTCAAGACCGTTACCAAAGCCACGGCAGGGCTTTGGCCTCACCTACTCAGACCTTCATACCAGAAAGCACGTGGAACATAAATTGTATGTTTGGAAAGGGGATATGTTAGGAGAAAGATTTGAATTAAAAATGAATGCAGAATTCCAGTACTTACTCCACAAATTTTTATTAATCATATCGCAGATGTGTGGCCAATCCTCTCATTCAGACTTCTCTAAGCAAAGGTAGTCCATGGGAAAGAAAGAATTCCCACTAAGTAGGCTTGTGACAGAAGTAAATTCTACTTTTATGACTGAAACGAGTAATAAAATGAGAAAGCTAAAATAAAACACCGTGTTTGGGCTCCTCCACTCAGGTAATGACCTTTTGATGAATCAATGTGCAGGAACCAGGAGGGGTTGGGTGTGTGTGGGATAAACAGTAATTATTCTCAGGCAGATCAGACTTTGCGTATTTCATAACTTCTATGGGTTGATTCACATTTTCAGTTACTGTTTGCATTAATTTCTTCTCTGCATTCACCTCTGCCCTAATTGAAAAAAATAAAATAAAAGGTGTTTGTTAGGTGCCATTTTGCCACCTGCATTAATAATTGCTATACAACGAAGTAGATCCTTGTTACATTTGCTTGTACACGTGCTATGAAGTATCTCTGCAGTGTCACCTACACTTTAGTCATTATTAGCATGAACAGACAATGACTCAATTCATACTTAGGAGACGTTCCTGACAAATACAGGCTCTGTGCTCCAAATCCCACCAGGACCCTCTTGGGGTGGTATTCCAACAGTTCAAAAGCTCATATTCTCTCCCCTTCGTTTTTGAGTTGCAGAGAATTGGCTACTCTGATTTACATTTTAAATTAGTGACTAGGGAAAATATAACTGGTAACAACTGCTAAATCCATAACAGACTGTCAGACAGTTTTTAAGAGTTTTACATGAGCCCGGCTGCAGTGGCTCAGTGGTTGAGCGTTGACCTTTGAACCAAGAGGTCATGGTTCGACTCCATGGTCAGGACACATCCCCAGTGAGGGGTGTGCAGGAGGCAGCTCATCATTTCCATTTGGTAATTTTATATTTTTTATTGTGGTGTTCTGGAACCAAATTTTAAATATCTCTGAGCTCCATTTTCTTCTTTTTCAAATCTGTGTAGGCAAAAGGGTTTTTTGTTTTTGTTGTTGTTTGTTGTGTATTTTTGTGTGTGTGTGTGTGTTTTTTTTACATCTGTTACAATTAGTCACTGAAAGTCTTTAATTGCCTTTTTACTCATTTTGTTTCCACTGTCTGTTGCTCTTGTTCTTGCCATGGTTTCCTGTTTCGTGGTGTATTTGGTTTAGTTTAGTTGTGATTTGATATTGTACCACCTGAGATTTCTTAAGGCCTAAAACAAAGCGTTTTCCTTCAGGGCGGATTTGTATTTGCCTTTACCAGGTGGCTCAAGGGCTCAGAACCAGTGTGGGGTATCCCTAAACTAACTTCTCAGCCTGGGTGAATCCCTGTGGTATTAATGCCAGAAACAAGTCAGCTGGGCTTTTAGTCCAAATCCTCAGTGTGAAACCTGCCCTGCTGGGCCCCAGGGTTCAGGGCAGACTCTTCCTTGCAATCATCAGTGTGTGTGTGTTTATTTCTAGTTCCTCCTTCCACCTCCAGGATGTAGCTTTTGCTCTGGTGCCCAGCTTCACCAAGAAAGATTTCGTATCAGGCTCCCCATCATGGAGAGGCGTCACAAAACCCCTAAAAGCAAAGCTCAGCTTTGGCTGGGGTGTTTAGGGTGCTTGGGGTGTCACGGGGGTTAGGATGGTGGCTCTCTGCGTTGCTTTTAAAAATATTAAAAATAGCCTTATCCTGAGGGTTGTGTAGAAGAATTGATGGCTGAATGGAATTTGTACTCGCAGAACTTTGTGGTCAAAGCTCACGGCTCTCCACGGGTGCACTGGCTGGGACTGAGTGACAGGGAACACGAAGGCGACTGGAAGTGGCTGGATGGGTCACCTGTCACTTTGAGCTTCTGGGAACCAGAGGAACCTAACAACCTGAATGATGAGGACTGTGTCAGCATGACCAAACAAGGCACCTGGAATGACCTCTCTTGCAACAAAGCTACGTATTGGATTTGTGAGCGGGAAATGCTCCTGTTGAACCCCAGGGATGAGACTGGGTGGGGTCTCATCCGAGCACCCCTTGACTCTTGGAGATAAGAAGTTCCTGCCCTTCCTGTCTCTCTAGGAACTGATTTGGATGCGCCCAAGATGGAACCAGCAGCTTGGATGTAGCAAGTTCCCTGGGGTGTAAATCAGACAATTTCTAGGGTGAGGACTTGGGGGCTTGATCAATTGGATGGAATCTGAGTGTGTTCAGGCTACTATAACAAAATACCATAGACTGGATGGCTTATAAACAACATAAATTTATTTTTCAAAATGCTCAAAGCTTGGAAGTCCAAGATCAAGGTGCAGGGAGATTCAGTGTTTGGTGAAGGAAGGCCTGTTTCCTGGTTCATTGATGCCGCCTTCTTGCTCTAGAATGGACAAGGGAATTCTCTGGGGTTTCTTTTATAAGCGCTTTAATCACATTCAGAGGGCTCTACCCTCATGGCCTAATCCCCTCCCAAAGGCCCAACTCTGAATGCCATCAAATTGGGGATTGGGTTTCAACATATGATTTTTTTTGGGGTCACACACATTCAGTTCACAGTTGATGGTGAGCTGGAGTGATGGTCTCCCAGTTCTGGGGTCTGGAGGAAACGCACCAAGTCCTTGATCATGGCACTTTGGAAGTGATGCTTGCCCTTGGGGCTCTGGACCTGGCATTGATTGACTAGAGTTGAAAATACCTTCAGTCCTCTGAACCATGATGCACTGGGGCTGGGCTCCCTCACTGCCTACAAGATGTGGATAAACTACTGGCAAGCAGTTGGGGCAAGATTCTTCTTGACAAGAAACTTTCTCAATGTCTCAGGTGAGGTTTGACCAAGTTAGGTGGTGGATTCAGACCTCTGCTAAGATTTGGCCCATGGAACTGCTGACTAGCTGAAAGGCAAGACTCCCCACTCAGTGTGGCCAAGCCAGGCCATGACTTTGTCAGATCCTCAGGACAGCAATGGAGATACATACCCACATGTGCCTTTGAACTATTTGTAGTTTGTAAAGGTTTTTGATGAAATATTTCACTTTGCTGGCAAGTGGACATTCTGGGGCTATTAGCTCTTGCAATGTTAGGGCTTCTCAAAATGCCAGTTCATTGTGTGGTCCTTGTCTACTGTGTTAATTTTCTGGGGCTGCCACAATAAAGTACCACAGGTTTAAACAACAACAAAACAAACAAACAAAAAAAAAATTAAAAATATTATTCTGGATTTTAATTGCACCCACTTGCCATTGTGTGGAAGGGGGAATTCTCCTTTCCCTCCTCCAATTCTTTTGCTTCACAAATAATCTTATCAACAGAAAATAGGTTAACACGAGAAATTCACATTTAATCTTGTGCACACAGGGACCCCACCCACGTAAGTCAGACACCGGCATCTGTGAGAAGTTTGGAGATAGAAAGGGCAGCAGGTATACAACACGTTCTGAGCTAGGGATGGTGTCTTGCACTTTGAGGGCTTCAAAGGGTTGGTTATTGCAACATAAGAGCAGGTAAATAGAAGTTCGTCCTGCCCTTCAGACAGGCCAAACCGGTTCTTCCTGAAACTCTTATGGGCAATGTCCCTAATTCACGTTGCCCCATAGTTGAGGGGTAGAACCTTCTCTTGTGCCCAAGGCGAAAACTGCCTTTCGCCCAAAATAACCTGCTAGCCCGGCTTTGAAGACGCCTCCGAGCCTGGTCCCACCTCCTCTCCCTGTGCCCTGGGGATGCAGCACAGGCTACGCCCTCTCCCTCCCCCACTCGCTGCTCAGAGCCTCAAGCAGAAATTGAACTGCACAGCAACCAAACCAGAAAAACCTCTATACTTCGTGAAAACATTGTTTCCAACTTTTTCTCAGCAATAGTTGGCTTTTTTTTTTGAGAAAAACTCTAAAGAGAACTTGTCACAAAAAATTGCACTGTGTTTTCATGAGGGGTCATCATCAAATCCCTGACCAATTCGGAGATCTGCACAGGGAAATGGGAGCTGTACATTTGCAATCACACTTCCAGGACAAATTAGTGTTCACTTATGAACTGCGCTTGTCTCCCATCTATACAGCTGGTGGTAGCTATTACTGCTGGATAACTCCCAAGTATAACCTACACCTCTCCAATAAAATGATGATGTAGCTTTCAACTCAGAGAAACCAGATAATAGATTCTGAGCGAATGAATGGATTACAACTCATTTGTTGAAAGAATGCGTGGCTCTGAAAAGAGCCTTTGGGGTCAGGAGTCGGGCCGCTCGCTCGCGCGTCTACTTGGAGCTGGTGTACTTGGTGACGGCCTTGGTGCCCTCGGACACGGCGTGCTTGGCCAGCTCGCCGGGCAGCAGCAGGCGCACGGCCGTCTGGATCTCGCGGGACGTGATGGTCGAGCGCTTGTTGTAATGCGCCAGGCGCGACGCCTCGCCCGCGATGCGCTCGAAGATGTCGTTGACGAACGAGTTCATGATGCCCATGGCCTTGGACGAGATGCCGGTGTCGGGGTGCACCTGCTTGAGCACCTTGTACACGTACACCGAGTAGCTCTCCTTGCGGCTGCGCTTGCGCTTCTTGCCGTCCTTCTTCTGCGCCTTGGTCACCGCCTTCTTGGAGCCCTTCTTCGGAGCGGGCGCGGACTTGGCGGGCTCGGGCATAACGGCGATGAGTGTCCCACTGCCGCTCACACTGGAGGAAGTAATGACCCCTCAACAGCGGCGCGATTATTTATAGACGATGTATTCAAATGAGGATAGTTAGAGTTCGATCCTGATTGGAGGATTCATAGGTTGTCGTCACAAATGAGCATGTAAATAAACTTTTCATTGTACCTTTTCATTGGCTATTTGATTACTTCGCTGGGCCCAATCAGATGGCTTAGACTATGTTACCCAGAGCTCCCAGAGTCCTCGGCTAGCACTGTGCTGTGTACTTCAGATCCTGTGAAACTTCCCGACAACGCACCAGCTGCAGGGCTGTGGGCGGAGGCCATCTGCTGGCCGATACACCTCCAGACACCGAGTGTGGGGCCCGCGCCAGCGGACACCTAGCGGCCGAGCTTATGTCCTGGACGCAGGAGCGGGCGCAGACTGTGGCTGACAAACGCAGTAGCGCGCGCCCGCCCGCGGCACTTAACCAAACCACCAGGCACGGCAACGTGCTGTGCGACACTGAAGTCCAGCATCCCCAATTCTATCAAAGCTCTAATGTTCGGCCCTAGCCGGCGTCTTCGGTGGATAGCGCGTGGGCCTGTGGACCCAAGGGTCCCGGGCTCGATTCCGGTCAAGGGCACATAACCTAGGTTGCAGGTTCCTCCCCAGCACGGGCCCTGGTCGGGGCACAAGCAGGAGGCAACCAATCGACGTGTTTCCTCTCACATTGTTTTTTCCTCTCCCACTCCCCCCCCACCCCCCCAAAAAAAAAGCCCTGTAGCATTTACTTAGGTGAATCTTCCCCTTCATAACCGCCAGATGTCCTAAGGTTAAATAAGTCTTAGGAACTCGTGCGCCTGTAGAGGTCGCCAAATACCCCTAGTGCTGGAAATGCCACACTTCCGCCAGTGTCTGTGGGCCGATTTAGGAACTAAGTTGCCTGGAAGGACACAGTATAGTTCCGGGGCCCTAAAGACCAAATAGACAAACCAGAGCTAGGTCCAAAGCAACTTCCAGTCCTACTAAACCCAATACCTCCTACCTAGACAGTGTCAAGTACCGAGTCCGGATACCCCTCCATCCCCGGAACCTCGCTAACCTGGGCAACCACCCTTCCCCCCCCCCAACAGGCACGGCCCCGATGAAGTGCAACAGCTCTTTCCTGGAGACCGTGGGTGGCTCTGAAAAGAGCCTTTGGGGTTGTGTTGTGTGTTAACAGTTGGCCAAAGGGACTTCCTACTTCTTCTTGGCCGCCTTCTTGGTCTTGGCTGCCTTGGGCTTGGGGGCCTTCGGCTTAGGCGGCTTGGATTTAGCCGCTTTGGCCTTGGCCGGGCTCTTGGGCACCTTCTTGGCTTTGGCTGGTTTCGCCTTCTTCGGGCTCTTCACCTTTTTGGCTCCAACAGCCGCCGCCGGCTTCTTGGGCTTCTTCGGGGTCTTTCTTGGCGCTCTTCTTGGGGGTGGCGGAACCCCGCAGGCTTTCTTGGGCTTCTTGGGC